AGAATCGACCTTGGCTGGGGAGATGGCTCAGTGGAATAAGTGCTTCTCTGGCAAGTGCAAGGGCCTGAGTTCAATCCCTGGTTCTGCCAAAAAAAAAAAAAGAAAGAAAGAATCGACCTTGGGGCCGGGGAGATGGCTCTAGAATAAGCACTTCCCTGGCAAGTACAAGGGCCTGAGTTCAATCCCCAGTTCTGCCAAAAAATAAAATAAATAAAAACAAAGGAGAAAAGCTTTCAGGCTGGTGAGATGGCTCAGTGGTCTAAAGCACCTACTCGGAACAAGCTTAGCAAAGCACAGGGACCGGGGCTGGAGAGATGGCTCAGTGGTCTAAAGCGCCTACTTGGAACAAGCTTGGCAAAGCACAGGGACTGCGGTTCAATCCCCCAGCACCACATGCCAGCCAGCCGTGCCCCCTGGTGGGCTGAGCTGGCCACACACACACACCCAATTTAAAAAAAAAAAAAGAATCGACCTTGCTGGGCGTGGTGGTGGTTATCCCTCACACACTAAACAGGCAATAATAACTAACAGATTAATTGTATCTGCTGTCCCAAAGTGCAAACAAAGCCCCAGGACATGGTATGAACTGACCTGGGAACTGCCTATGATAAAAGATCATAAACATTTTCTTTCACACAGAGATTAAAAACTGCATAGCTGTGAGTCCTACATCTGGACCATGTGAACTGTCCCACCCTCTGCTGTGGGAGTGCAGGTCCCCACGTGGACACTCCATGGCGGTGCACACCACTGCAGGATGCCACAAGGGTGGTGAGTGCACGGCAAGTACACTGGAGGCCTTGGGAAGACAGATATTCTTCCAGCGTCACATGAAAAACCTACAGGAATTCAGAATCCTGCTGTGTCACTCAAGTGTCTAGAAGTCTGGTGCTCTGCAGCACACCAGCACATCCCCTCTAAAATAAAAATTTTGTATCACACCTACATCTCAGGGCATACCGAACCTGGTAAACCTCTCCAGTGTCTATGGGTAGTGTACTGCCCACTTGGGGATCCTGCCGTGACCCACACATCAGGTGACACAAAAGCCTGCTAACTTCAAGTAGTGCCAGAATAGGAATAAAGCTCCATAGTAGGTGGACTGTGGTGCAAGCCCTGCTCCTTGGTCACATGACACCACATTATATTAGCGGTGCCAGCAGTGGGAAAGACCACATACTATTTATGCCAAGCCCCAATTCGAAGCTACCTGGACCTTACAGTTAGAGCGAGGCCATGCCACAAGAAACACCTGTTGGATGGCAGGTCTGGTGTGCTCCTGAGAGCTTGCTGAGATGAAGTGCATGCCCTTGGGACATAAGTGTCCACATCCCTGGAAAAGCCACTTATAACCTACAACCTTTTGGACCCGTGTCACAGGGTTAGGTGGGTCCAGTACCAAGTCTTCACAAGATGAAAATATTACATGTAGAACTGGCCCAAGCCAGGGTGAAGTGGGCGCATAGGGGGCCACATTTCCTGTCACCCCACACGGTCATCCTGGTGCTTCTCCCACAGTTTATGACCATAGTCATGTAGATTAGAGGAGTATGCCTCATGACCTGATGGCAAAAAAGAGCTTGGATAACACGGGTTGTCTCAGGAGGCAGGAAGCAGAAAATGGGCTACACCACAGCGCACTCAAAGAGGCCTTGACAGATAGAGTATACTTGCTGGGGTGAGAACACAGAGGCTGGCGGACAACAGGGAAAGACTTGGCTGGTCAGTCAGAAGTCTGGAAGAAAAAACAATGGTCCGTAGCATGGCTGAGCATGGGTATAAAGTGCCACATGCTTGTGTTGTGTGTTGATGCCCAATAGTAAGATAGAAGATTTATATGATCTGAAGAAAAACCAGAGTATTTGATGCCCCATAGTGTATTTCTCATCTACCACAGAAAAGGTACCAAACTAATGGAGGACACTGAGGGCCTAGCAATGTCATTCAGCCTTTGTTACTAAAATGAACATGGGGGAAATATGCACAGGCCCACTTTCTGCTCAAGGCTGACCTAACTGCTGCTGTCATCAATGTCTGACTTGCTGGCAAGAGACCAAAACAGCCTGACATGTCATCGTTCATCAAGAAAACCATGCATCCATCTGATGGCAAGTTACCATCCTGTAAGGGGCAGTGTTCCATCTTGACTGGGGTAGGGTCTACGGCCATACCACCCTGAATACGCCTGATCTCATTTGGGGTAGGGTTTGTCTCTGCCACCTGCAGCACCTCAGCCAGCATTGTTGAGGGCTCACAGAATCTGATGCATTGGCCTGACAAAGTACATCACTTTGGCTCAAGAGTGGTACAGCCACAGAGCATGGGTGGGACTGTTCATGGACTGTGCTGCCTAGAAGCTGCCTCTGATGGTGATGGAACAGCCTGTCGCTTGCACAAGGCAGCAGCCCAGAGACAATCCCCACCATGGCCTGGGAGTCTTTACTATTCCAGAGCAGTAGCCACCACACAGCAGTGCTGAATTCCTAAGTAAAACTTATTGGCCTTGGAAACAGGGTGAATGGAGGAGCAGCCCACATTGGCATCACTCCTAGGGACTTCACTGCAGAAACTGTCCCTCCCAGCCCAGCCCCGGCTCCGAGCATTCGAAAGCACTGGCTCCCACATGGTTCTGCCAGTGCTTCTACAAGTAACAGTGCCAAGGTCTTGTTAGTCTTTAAGCTCTGGCTACCACCAGACAGGGAGGTAAGGCAGTCACTCTCGTGGCAGGAGTAAGTCACCCTGATCACTGGGGTAGTGCTGCTGTCACACAGTGGGAACCGGGAAGAATACAACTGGCACCAGGCTTCTTACCCAAGTATTTCATTTCCCCCTTGCGATGTGATGGGGAAATTAATAAATATGTGGATCCCCACATGCTACCCTCTCTTTTTGAGATAGGGTCTCACTTTGTCATTCAGGCTGGCCCTGAACTTGCACCGATCTTCCTGCCTCGGCCTTCTGAGTAGTGGGATTACAGGCATGCACGTCACACCTGGCCTACCCCAGCTTTCAAGACAGATGGCTAACTGCAGCCATGACCTGAAAAGACCAGGATAAGGTACCTAAGCAGATAACCCTCCCTGGACCTGCGGAAGTGCACATCTCAGGTGGCCAGTGAAGGAACTCGGAACACCACAGGTAGTAAAGATGGACACCACTGTAAATGCAACACAAGTTCCAGCAAGGACTGGCTGGTCTGTCCTAGACTTTCACCCCTCTGGTACTGGGGACTGAACCATGGATGTTACACATGCTAGGCAACTGTTCCACTTCTGAGCTATATCCCTGACCCTTTCTGAGGGAGACTCTTAAGTTGCTTGGGCTACACTTGAAAATTTGTGGCTCTCCAGTGTCAGCCTAAGCAGCTGGGATTCCAAGCATGCCCCAGATTTTAAAAATTTCCCAGGAAGAGAGCCATCAGGGTCCTGAAGGAACCATTTCAGAAATGAAACGCTTCTGAGCAGTGCAAGAGAACTGTTAATGTGACTCTGGCATGCTGCCCAGAGACCTCCCCCTTCAGGACCAAAGCTGAGTCCCATCCAGGAATTGCCTTTAAATGAAGGCAGCTCCCTCACCCAAGGCCGTGCACCCATCAATCAGCACTATGGTTCCAAGTTCAACTCAGCTCTCCTGCTGGGGCATCATACAGAGCCATCCTAGTCTGAGCTCCCTGTGGGACCAACTCAGCTTTCTCAGTACCTAGGCCTGCTCTATTCTGTCTTCTACAGGTATCAATCGTCTTTCCACAAATAAACTTCCTGTGGACCGATCTCTTGCTTTTGCTAAAAATTCAACCTACAAGTACTTCAACACTAACATTAGTTGTATGAAATGTGCCTGTTGCATTATTTTAGAAAGCAGCCTGACAAATACTGAAAAATCCTGTTAAAGCCTTCGAAACTGGGCATTGGGGTGCATGCCTACATCTCAGCACTTGGGGGGCTGAGGCAGGAAGAGTGCCAGGAGTTCAAGGCCAGCCTGGACTACTTCATCTCAAAAAACATCAAAAGAAAGCCTTCTATGGGGGCCAGGGAGATAGCTCAGCCAGACTAAATGTCTGGTTAGGCAAGCACAGGGACCAGTATAATCCCACGAGCTGAACCAGCCCCGCCCCTCCCCCCAAAAAGAAAGACTTCTACTTCAAAAGAGAGTAAGGATAGGAATCACTGAAATGACCAATTTCAAACAGTACCACACTAGGTGGGAGCTGAGAGTTCTGGCAACTGTGTGACTGGGTTATCACTATTGTCAGTGCAACTGACCACAGGCCTCCTTCAGGTGGGATGGGATGGGATGAGCGTGCTTAGCTTGCTCAGTGAGAGGCAAGCGAGCTCAGGCAGAAGCCAATCTCTCTGAGCTTCTGGTTACGGACAGCAAAGGAGCCCACAGTCTCACCTTCATCTCCCTACACTGCACGACCTCACACTATATTTGAGTGACCCTGGCATGACGCACATCAGTGGTCCTTTCTACAGTGACCCTTGGGCTTACAGAGGTCAATTTTTCTTGTCTACTGGCAAAACAAAAACTTATTCCAGACTGATCTAATGACCTCTGTGTCAGACTCCTAGAGAGCTGGTGATTATAGGCACTGCAACTGTCCGGCCAGCAGTTCCTCTACTTAAGCATCTTCCATCTCGGGCCCCTTTCTCCATCACTCACCCTTGGGCCTTACTCAGATCTCCTTAGAGAAGCAGAGCTCACTGTCCTTGTTCACAATGATGATTTTATCAATCTAACGAGTTTTAAGACCAACCACAATCAGCTTACTGAGAGTAACTGACTCACAGCAACTGTGAGGCATATAATGCTAACATTCTCCCACTCTCTCTTTTTTAACAGAAAGCTTCAATAGCTCAAGATACTCATTTTAATGTTATTTCTCTACTCAAGTTCAGTAAATGACACCTTAAAAAAACAAATCTACATCTTAAATTTTTTGCTTGAAATACAAATGTTTATCAATAAAACTTTGAAAAAAAAAAAAAAGAAATACAAATGTTGAGTTTAGCTGATGAGACTTGAGCCAAGTCCTAGACACAATGTCTGTCTCACCCATTTGTCCCAATGGATTCCAAAGGAGGAAGAGGCTAAGAGGCATCTAGACTGTTTGAATCCAGTCACACAGAGTTTAGCAAATGACAGTCTGGTTCTTCTTGAACACGACTGCCCCAGTAAAGCCAGACATGTTGGCTGCTGAAGGTGGAGATGGCTAAGGTGAAGATTCTGACCTGCACGTGCTATTCTGTCAGACGTGTCCACGTGATCTCCAAGCTCCCACATTTGCTGGGAGCTGGGAATGCGGCTAGGGGCTGACCCAGTTTTGCTCCACTTCTGCTTTACAGTCGTAGCTCAGACCAGTTGGGAACCAGTAGAGTCCATGCCCCTGGCAGCCTGCTTAGCCAACCAGTGCTTGTATCTTTTGGTCTTGGGCCTCTCAAAGTTCACCACTGACATAGGAACTCTCACGGTGTCCAGCCCATTTACCTGAACATAAAATAAACATCCTTAGAGATCAGTTAGACAGGTATTAGCTAACACACTCTGTCTCAATGTTTTAGGCTAGCTTTTCTCCCAGTCAGAGCAAGGAATAAGGATGACACTCACCGTCACTTCACACCAATACTCGCCCCACCGTGTGATCGGCTCCTCTGGTAACTTCAGGGTATGTGGGGCAACCACAACGCCAAGCTGCAAACATCAGCCAAGTGAACTCTCATGGCTGCCACTCTGGGCAATCAAATAAAGACAGCTGAGTAATTTCCTGGACAAGGAAGAGTAAAACTGGAGTTTCCTCTTGCTGACCCGATGGGAAAGTACAGACCTCCACAGGTAGGAGCAGAGGAGCTCAGTCCTAACTTCTCAGAAAAGGAAGACTCATACAGAGAAAGGGGACTTGAGACCAAAAATCACTTAATCCATGAAGGTTAACAATTCGCCCCCCCCCGGGGGGGGGGGCAGGGAGATGGCTCAGTAGAATAAGTGCTTGCCTGGCAAGTGCAAGGGCCTGAGTTCAAACCCCAGTACTGCCAAACATGCACACGTGCGCACGCACACGCACACACACACACACACACCCAAACCTCCCCCCTGGGGGATGCTACCACCTGGCTCTCTTTAGTGAGAGAAAACAAATGGAAATCACCACCTTTCCCCATCAGACTTTAAACCGTGCGACTCTTCTTAATCCTCAGCCATTTCCCTCCCACCACGATTCCCTGCCTTAACTCCATCTGGACAATCATCCCTCTTCCTAACAAAGGAGTCAATTCCTGGCACCTTCCCAGGGACAGCTTCCAAGCTCATGGGTGTGGTGATATTTTGAGAAAACTCACATTCTTGAAGAAGTGGCGAGCAACTATTTCAGAGTTCAACTCCCATTTGACGTTGTTCTTCATTCCCACTTCCAGGTGACAGCTTCTCAAAAACTTTACTGTCTGAAAGAATTATAAATAGAGTTGGGTCAGTTAAGAGTCAAAGGAAACAGAATTCTAAGGACTGAGAGTCACAGCAAAGGGCATAACTCCTGCTGCCCACAACTAAGAAAACAGATGGTAGGCTGGTGAGATGGCTCAGTGGTCTAAAGCATCTACTTAGAACAAGCTTTGCAAGCACAGGGACCGCGGTTCAATCCCTCAGCACCACATGCCAGCCAGCCCTGCCCCCACCCCAGGTGGACTGAGCTGGCCACACACACACACACACACACACACACACACAACTAATAAATAAATAAAATTTTTTAAAAAAAGTTTAGAAAACAGATGGTACGAGAACAGTCTATCTCAGTGTTGATATGGTATAAAGATTTTAGCAATACTTGGGGTAGCATGTCACCTACATCTTATTCCTAAACAAAGAGAAAGTGCAGGTCTCAGTTATAGATCACAGTGAAATGCCTTTCATAAGACTGTTTTAACCCAATTCTGGCCCTTCAATCCCATATCACATTAATGGCTCTTGCCTGATTACAGAATGATGTTCATTAGCTAAAGATTCAAGACATTTTGCACACCTTGTTTCAATACCCTTTGCAAGTTTTCTAATACACAAATTCTCTGCTTTAGCTAATTTCATCTACTTTCTATGTTTAAACATACCTTAAACTTCTCTTATTCTCCCTTAACATTTTTCCTGTCCTCCTGACTTACTCAGAGCCTACTGACCTCAGAAGGCCTAATTTAATCCCTTTGAAAGTCCTTCCTAACCACCCCAAACCCAGTATGACCCGTGTAAGTCTTATCACTTACTGCTTCCAGTTTGCTGCTTAGCATGTGTGTATGCTGTCCCCAACTTGTTTGTCAGTATCCCACGGGTCCCTGATACCTAGACTGGACAATCCCTCAATAAGCGAGAGCAGGTCAGGATTGCCAAGAAGTCTCCACACCAGTTATCTAGGACAGCCACAACACTTTTTTTTTTGTGTGTGTGTGGAACCGGGGATTGAACTCAGGCCCTTGCACTTATCAAGGAAGCGCTTATTCTACTGAGCCATCTCCCCGGGCCAACAACACTTCTTTTCCTCGCCCTTGTGTGTGTAATTAGATAGAAGATGTCAAAGAAATCAGGGAGACTCTCAGTCTAACCTTTTTATTTATCGGTTAATAAGTTCCATTTCTACTTACCGCCTCACCTGCCTTGGTCTGCAATCTTGCTAATTTTCCTGCTTGTCTCAGCTAAAAAAGTTAAAGATAAAAATAAGGAAAAGAAAAATGAGACCATGTTAAATGATACCAAATTTACTGTGGTGGCTATAGACTGGGGTTTTAGATTTCTGGTCTTTAAGTCTCTATTTCATTTTCAAACTAAATATCAAAGTGAAGGAATTGCTAGAAGCAGTCTTATGTTGTTTGATTCTTACAACACCTTCCCTTTGAGCTTACCAATTTCTCCTCTTCAAACAGCTTCTTGTTTTCGGGGGATGCATATACAGCCAGTCCCTGAGAAAGGAGTTTGTTACGACCCACTGATTTCGTCACCGAGACCAGGTCACCCCTGACTCCAAGTTCTGCCAATGAGAACAACAGAGACACAGAGAGCCAAGTGTGACCCCTAGCACCACCAACTACGGAGGGGAAGATGAACAAAGAGACAAACACTACTTATTTTCCTACAGTGTTTGTTCTTCCAAAGATTTTATTCCATACTCACTAGGAAGAACACTGTGGGAGACTACTAATTAGGTTTTATTTATTTATTTATTTATTTGTGTGTGTGTGTGGCCAGCTCAGCCCACCAGGGGGCGGGGCTGTCTGGCATGCGGTGCCCGCAGTCCCTGTGCTTTGCTAAGCTTGTTCTAAGTAGGTGCTTTAGACCACTGAGCCATCTCACCAGCCCGCTAATTAGGTTCTTTAGAGCCCGACAGAGAAATGTATGGAGCAAAAAGTTGTGCTATCAGACACTTTCATGCACTGTGACACAAATTGTCAGACCTCTACCTAAAATCGTGTAGCAGTCTTAACGTTTTATATTTCCATACAGGAAGCCAATGTCACCACCACAGAACTTTTTCTTTTATTTTCTTTTGAGATAAGGTCTTGCTATACAGTTTAAGCTGGCCTTGAGCTCACTTCGTGGCCCAGGCTGGCCTGAAACCCGCAGCGATCCTTCTGCCTCAGCGTCCCTGGGTGCTGGGATTACAGGAGGGCGCCACTGCGCCCGGCTATCACGGTCCTTTTTATAGCTTTCTTTTCACATACAGCTCACCATCTCCACAAAGTAGAAAAAGCAAACCAGTGGGGTGAAAGGAAAGGGAAAAAGTGACACCGAGGAGCAGCAGCCTGCGGTGAAGTGCCTCTGGTCAGGCCCTACCGTCCACAGACTGCGTGAGGATGAGCTCCAGGTTCTCCTTGGGCCGGTGTTTCGTGTCCTCCACTAGCCGGTAGACCCGGTGTCGCCGGCGCAGGCGCGGCTTCCGGCCCTCCCCAGCCAGCGGCACCTTCCACCAGCGCTCTACGATGACTGTGCCCTGTATCGAGGAGGCTAAGATAAGTGAGTCCCACTCTCTCCGCCCGCCATGCCCGCTAAACCCCAAGGAAACACCGCAACCCCGAGGCCAGCCCCCCAAGTCTCAGTCCCAGCAAGAACTGCCTCACCCAAGCCAAGGATCCCATAACCCAAACCCGGCCCTCACCCAATGGTGAGAAAGGCTGAAGTCGCGCCCCAGGCCTCCTCCGAGGCGCTGCCAGAGCGGCTCCCGGGGTCCTCCTCGCTGCAGCAGCTCAGCGCCCCGCCGCAGCAGAGCTTTGCCGGGGCACGCCAGCATGGCTGCCGCCATGATGCCGGGACGGAGAGCTACTCGAGGAAGGACCCCGCGCCGAGAGTCAGGAAGGACCCCGCGCCGAGAGTCAGGAAGGCCCCGCCGGGGCTGCCCGCGGCGCGCCTGAGCCGGCCCGCAGTGCCCGGGCTGGAGCCGAGGGGAGAAGGGGTGTGGCTAGGTGGCCCGCTGCGTCCTACTTTTTCTCCTGCCTTCAGTAATGCTTCTTCAGTAGTGCACCAATTTCCACAAGGAATGTAAACATGTATTAATAAAAACAAACAAGCCAGTATGAAAGCCTGTTTGGCAGAGAAGACCAGAAAGAGGCTCTGTGCTTCTACATAAGTCACCTTTAGGATCAACACACTGTCCGACTGTTGTTTTGGCTTTGAGGACGCTAGTTTTTTTCACAGTCTCCTTTATTGATTTATCTTTTCTCCTCACTTTCCAGGACTCACTCAGTCTTTGACTTTTACTCTGCTCAGTGTACACGCTCCTCATCTAGTCCTGGCTTGCAATGCTATATCTATACCAGTGATTTCCA